AATAATTTAAACATTACATCTTGATCAATTTAATTTTAGGATGTTGGCAATGTAAAAAAAACAAAAAAAACAAACAATACACATAGTTGAAATACTAACTGTAACTTGAAGCCAATTAAAGAAAAAGCAGCCATTCCCTTCTTTATAAAGATGAGATCATAAAAATGACAACACAACCAGATATTCAATCCAGTAATCTTACACAATGTAGTTACATTGAGACCCTTCCCATTGCAGTGTAAAAGGTTATTTATTGGGGTTGAGTTTAGTTTAACAAGTGATGAAGAAAATATCACTTGTTTATAACCTCAAATAATACTGTTATGTTGAGTGACTGAATCACTTGACATCATAAAGATTACATTAATGGAAAATATCCGTTTAAAAAAAAAATGATTTTTCCAACTGACAAAACAAGTCCTTTAAAATTGTTTTTGTTGTTGTTGTTGTCAATATATACATATATATTATAAATATGAATAATTATAAGCCCTGGGAAGCATTTTTTGAAACAATGAATAATAAATATTTTGACCAAATTTACATTAGTTAACAATTAAAACCTGATTATTTTTTCAACCAATCACTAAATAGTACTGTAGCTAATCACACAGCAATAATACACTATTAATGACTTGGCATGTTTGACCATGCACATCTGTTGATTTTAATGACACACATTTTACTTCGAGCATCTGTTCTGAATTGAAGTAAGCTTACATACCCTTGTGGATCAACTTTCTAATAAACTTGAATAACTAGTACATACTAAAAAAGTAATGTTACCACTCTGTTGTCTTGGCAGTGTATCCAACCAACATGAGCGGGTATTGTAACTTAACTGGTTAAAAGTACAAGTAGTAAACATAACTAAACCAACTGGAACCCCCCTCCCCCTCAAAAGGACTAACCATTAGATTTGTCAGTGTGTATTAACAGTGAGCTAACTGCTTGTGTGTGTGTCCAGTTTTATGTAAGGCTAAACTTACATCTCGTATTTTTTTTTTACATACACACACTGAGATTCATGGCTCTTTGGTTTATCCATAGACCTTATGGTTTAATCTGCCCATTGCTTTAGTTTAGTGAACCATCAGTTTATCATAAATAAACATATTAGTTGGAAAACTTCTGCTCAAAGTAAAAAGAGGTGTGATCATCTGTATCCCTTTATTACTATCACAATTAGTCCAATGCATATTCTGACCCAGTTCCTGTAAAAAGTCATTTTTTAAAAAATGTTTGAAATTTGATTTGATTAGCCTTCAGTATCTATGCTTGATCAATGAATTGGAAAGGGTCACATGGAAGCACTATGACAATGACATGTGTAGCATAAAAGCATACATTCAATACCAAAAATGTATATTTATCACTGGTAAATCACATCAGTTTATGTACGGCAATCAGAGAAAATTACTCCGAATATCATTTTTTGTCTGAAGACATAAATTTGAAGAACAATGTCAATGCCCATACTAGTCAAAACAATTTCTAGCAAGATTAAAAGCAGAGTAAGAACAACCATAACATTTCAAAGACAATCTAATTGACTTAAATCTACACAAGAATCACCATCACCTATGACAACCACCATAGAGGGCAGTGCACCATCTCCTATGACAACCATCCTAGAGAGCAGTGCACCATCTTCTAAGACAACCACCACTAGATGGCCATGCGATTCATTATTCAAAGACTTTCAAGAGTTCAGTTTTACTTTATGGGAATTAGGAAAAAAAATCCAGTCATTATAAGATCACTTTTCCAGTTTAAATGGAAACAAATAATGTCAATATTCAATAAAACTAGAAAAATTATTTTTCTTTTTGAAGCCATAATTGTTGCATTAAGGTAGCGAGAAGGGTTTTGTGACATTTTCGAATAAAACATTCTCTGTCTGTTGTGTTGTTCAGAAGAGTAATTTAGCTTATATATTTCAAAAGACTAAGTATAGAGGCACAATTTCGCACAAACTGGACAGTCGTTGTTTACATAATTATCACGTGACATCAAAAATGGCGAACCTTGTAAAAATGACTAAGTACGCGATTGCGAGAGCACACTGCGGAATTTCCTGGTGAAATTTACGTCATGCATTGTCCGTAATCAAGTCCATTGAAATGCGTCTCAGATATCAAAAGACCTATTATTCCGATTTCTATGCAGTTTGTTTTTTGTCCTCACTATTTCATACTTGA